TTAGGGTTAATGTTTTTTAGCTGAGGACATTAAGATGTAGACCTGGTTTACTGCCCCATTTTTTTCTGATTTCCGTGTCTGTCCAGGCAAGTTGACATGCGGGTCATTTCAGCTGGACTGGTGCCCAAGGAAAAAGGGAACCTGTTATTCTAGTTCGGGTTAATGAATGTCATATGCAATTGGGAGGCAGTATGGGATGGAAAGTAGAGAAAGAGAGACAGTTTTATTTCGGCAAAGGTATGTCCCCTCCAGGCTCGGAAAAAGTAACTCAGAGATCAGCTTGTCTTGGGCCCCCTTGTACAAACGTTAATGATGTTTTGCCGGAGCCCCAAGTGACAAGTTTGTTAGACGAGACCCGTTAATACGTGAAGTGTCTGGACCGGAGTTTTCTGACAGCTAAAAACAAGGTCCTTTTTCCTGCTAAGTCTCCCTGGGGCCCCTCAGCGCTGTCCCCTAAGTCCGTTGTTTAGGCATTTCCACTTGTGCTACCCAGAGACGTTTTGACACGTTACAGGTGACATGTTTTTAGCTATACGTCGACAGTCGCAGAAAGAGAAAATGCTGGCGAAAGGGTCAGGCATTTGTTCTGTCCACAGCCGAAACCAAAGGGCAGCGGCGAAGAAAGAGCTCTTGTTCCGGGGGTTTCCACAGCATGCTTGAGCTTATAAATGGTCTGATTAAGAAATCCAACCAATTGTATGAGGCTTATACAGTCTGTCATAGCGTTAGTACATTGCCTCAGATTGTATTGCTTTTGTAGAACCATATCAAGCAGACATTTATAGAGGGAGGACAGATTATTTCCATGGGAAAGCTTCAGGCAATATAACTGTTATATTGTTAGGCCGGTGGTTTGTCGCCTTCTCTTTGGCTTTGTAAGGAGGGCTAATGTTCTCGTTTGACACTAGCGGATTGCTTTCTCTCTGTGCCTGAAGAAAGAAGGCAGGCTAATACATTTGAGTCGGTGAAGCGAAGGTCGTTGAGAATTACATTCGCCCCCTCCCTCGCCCTCCTACCCCTCTCTTTTTTCCCTTTAATTTCCCCACTGGATTGGCAAACCGTTTTCACTATTAGCACTGTGGTGGGCAGCTCATTGTGTGTGTGTGTAATTATGTGTGTGTGTGTGTGTTGTGGTGTGCTGGCAGGCCCACCCAGAGCCAAAGCGGAGCAGACAGATAAATAGGTGCGTGGCTCAACTGGATTGTACTGTCAGGAGGAATAACAACAACATCAACAGCGGCGATACAACACAAAAGGTCGCCGCACAAAGGAGGAATCTAAGTTTAACATGACAGGTCAGGGGGACAAAGATGAGCGACCAAACTGTGAGACCGTTTCGGGGTTTTTAAGTAGGCCATGTTCATGTACTTCTTCTCTGATGCTTGATGGAGGTTATTAAGTGTCCTCTGTCTTCCCTAAGGACAGCCCCAGAAGTGAGTACCCACAGGTGTTTAGAGCACTAGATTAGAGCTACGTTGAACACAGCTGGCAACAGGAGGGACTTTGGAAGGCGTCAAACTGCCCAGCCAAGCGTTTCCCATAATGTCTTCCAGATGATAAGGGCCTGGATGGATCTGTGTTAGCAGAGTGTGTGGACCTACTGGCGCAGAACCGCTGCAGTTCTGGCTGACGCACTAGTCATTTAGGCACAAATAGAGACATTCTGGAGAAGGAGGTCTCTTCTTTCTATCTTTCACAGCGAGGACCCCCAGGGCGTCTTCTCTCCTCCATCTGCATTCTCTCTCCCGCTGCGCCGCCTTGACGAGGGCCATCCGAGCTGATGATGTGCCAGGATAAAAATGCAATAAACAGCTTTTCTGGAGGTGCAAGGAATCGAAATAGAAGCAAAAATAAGCTTTTTTTCTCTTCTTCTTCTTCTTCCTCTTGTTTGAATGGTGAAAAGGGGATTTATGAGGACACGCCGACTGAAAACATTAGTTGTCGCTTCTATTCGTATGCACACCCACTACTACTTGCTATACTGTACACAATATTCATAATGCTCTGCATCAACACACATTTGTTTGCGCATGTACTGGGGCATACACACACACAAACACTCGCTCAGCTCCTTCAGCTGTACTGCAGCTCGCTCTTCTCTCCTTCTTCATCTCAGTGATGCATCTCAGCATCAATTTTTTAGACGTCTGGCAATGCTCAGCTTTTGGCAGTTGTGGGATGGTGGGGGTGGAGGTGTGTGAGGAGGGAAGGGAGGGGGGAGGCAGAGACAGAGGCTCTGGGGTGAATTATAAGCCTGCTGATAGTACAGAGCAGGGCCACGGGAAGATAGATGCTCTCTGTTGTGAGATGGGAACCAAAAGATGGAGAGGAGAGGAGAGGAGAGGAGAGGAGAGGAGAGGA